AAGCATAATAAACTTATGACAGAATGTTTTTTGATGGTTTTTTATTAAAAAATCTTTTAATAGGCCTATTCATATTTAAAGATAAAAAGAAATCGTTTTGTTTTTGATTTTTTCCATTTAGTTTTTGAATATTTTAATTTTATATTTAATTTTTTTATTCTATTTTGTTGACACTGACCAAATTCTTCTTTTTAGAATGATTTCATTGTAATATTTAGTCAAGTGTAAAGTAATAAAAATCCGAAAATAATTTTATAATTTTTAGTGAACATAGAAAAGGTGAAGTTCAGTTACCATAAAGTGGTGAGAATAAAACACGTGGATGGCACTTAAATTATTAAAATCATTAAGTAATTATTTTTATTAATTGTGTTTATATTTATGATACTTTAATTCAAAAATGTCTCGCCATTTTAATATCAACACAAAAGTGACGTGAATTATTGTTAATGTTTCACGACACTCGTGTCATTCCTATCGCAATCTCATTCTTATCGAGTGACAAGAACGTCCAAAAATTTTACTAATTTTAAAATTTTCTGTAATTCCTTTATGAAATTTTTGTCAAGAAATGACATAACATCGACAAGTATCTAACCTAAGTTTAAAAATAAATGTTATTTCAGACACCGCCTTTATTTATTACATAACAATTTTTAATCAACCAAACTATTGTATGTCTTTGCCATTTATATAATTATGATCAAAGATTTTCTTCATTAAAATTTTATACAATCTACATGCATCACTTTATAAATCTTCTACTAATTTTAATTTAATTTTAAATTCTAAAAATATTTATGCATATGACCACCCATTTAATTAAAAATTTCATTGCTGCTACCTTCAATAAATTTCATTTTATCTGATTAAAGTAACTAATTTTGATGCTATCGCATAATGAAGTATAAGTTTTGTTTTTTATTTTAAAATTAAATGCATTTATATGCAAAAACTCTTCTATGAACTGACAATAGAATGATTAATATGTTAGAAATTGAAAAATCGATTTTAAATTCTAATCGATTTAAACAATCGAAGTTATTTATTATGTGGTATGTCACCCATATATAGGATTTTTAGTTATTAAATCGCATCAATAGTACAACTGTCATTGGATTGCAATCGCATTTTCATTCAATATGTGAAATAAACCCGATTGATTTATAAGAGGCCATATTAAATGTTGATTTAAAACCGTAATAGAAGATTATGGTGCATTTATTAATGTCTTGATTTGATAATAATTTCTTAGATTTTCTGCGCCACACACTGCTAATCTAGACAATATACAAACATAAGTTTTGATGACAAATCGAATAATTTGCTTGTATTCAAAAGTTAGAGTTTATGACTTTGTTCTATTTTTTTACCTGTACGAAATTATTGTTTTATTAACCTTTTTTCCTGTTTCCGACATATTTAATATTTACCTATCATTTGTTCCATTTGATCTCATATAAAATTTCTATATATACGAAGTGTACAATAAGATTTTTATTACCATACTAAATGATTAATTACATAAAGTTACTCTTTTGCTAAATCTGTAATTAATTAGGCGTGATGTTTATATGGATTATTTATTCATATACATACATGGAAAAAAATAAATATTAATGAGCATTAATTTGTTTACAACAAGGTTATTACAAGGTGTTCCAAAGAATTAATTAATTACGTATTTAAAAAAATTGGAGATTTTTGGAAAATGCAATTTCCAAAATTATAATTTTAAAACTTCGAAAGCTTTACACGAGGCTTTGGTATTTTAACTTTAACGCCAGAATTAAAATAATGTAAGTCTTAGTAGTCAAGTTTGAATTAAAATTTTTGAGTTTAAATTCAAATTACAAAAATAATCCAACACAAGACCACTTGAATTCTAATAAAAACAATTTTTATTATCATAGTATAATAATGACATTTTTCGCTATGACACCTTATTTATATTTAGATATTTGAAATGTCACACTGTTATAATAAACATTTGTAACCCCTTTGATTTATGAATATTTATAAAATTCACAATCACTCATTAAGATTGTCATAATATTCTCTCTTTAAAAATCATAAACAAAACAATCTCCGTAAATTTTGTTTCATGTAAATACCTAGTAGACTATCTATTAAAAATTTGTAAATTAAATATTGTGAATTAAAAATTCTTTTGGCAACTTCCTACATTCATACTTATTTTACAATACAATAATAAATAATAAAATAAAATTGTTCTATACAAAGCCTATCAAATAATTAAAATCTAATTTTAATTAGAAGCAAAAATTTTTTTTTAATGAGTAGAAAAATTAATTGAGCTGAACGAATTTGAAAAGAATTTCATAAATAAAGAATATTTTCACTTTATAAAATTAAAACAGATAAGTTCGTTAGAATTTCATATTCTATATAATTGTATATTGAGGTAGGTCTAGTACTCTTTTATACATATACACTCATTTATGTGTAGGTACGTCTAATTGACAAATTTCAAATGAATGATTTTAATTTGTATTTATTTCTGTTTTAAGATTAGGAGTGGTGACCTAAGTCTCTATGTACTTCTTCAATGAAATATAATTTATTGATGATTTTGTGGGTGATGTGAGCTATAGAGATGACCCTGTTGATAAATACTTATCAAAAATTTTAAATAAAATCTATGAAAACAAAAATTTCATACAAAATCAAGGATTTTTTTGTAAGAAATATTTTTATTTAAAATTTATGAATTATGAATTGCATGAATACAAAATTAGCAAAATTTTTCAATTTCATGAAATTATTAAGCACAATATGTATATTGAAAATTCTAAATCTAGCCCCGAGAAAAATTTGATTGAGAAATTTAAATGCTGCTATAAAGAATGACAAAGAACTGCTATTTGCGGAATTTTCTCTTAAATACTAGTTTTCTGTATAATCATGAATAATTACTTGTGTATGTCAAATTTAATTTGTTAGTAATGACTTCCCAAATTTGAAGTTCTAATTTCTAAAGCTCTTCTTGAAATGTAGGTAAATAAGCCAAGCAATTACCTTATACATACATACTTAGTTCAAATATCAAATTGAAAATTTTTATTTGCACTTTCAATTACAACGCGAAATAACAAAAAAAAAACACCTACTCTATTTACTGATATGAGTAAATTTCTAGCTTTTCAAGGTCAATTTAATATTTTTATTATCTAAGTTTATTATGTAAATTAAAAATGTGATAAAAAATTGGAAAAAAAAAATCTTCCCAAAAAAAAAACTTTTACTTAAATTTTTTTCCTATTTTTTTTCAATTTTTGTGTTTTTGTGTGCTTTTGCAAATTTTTTCAATTTAAGCGATTAAAGCTATTCACGTCAGTATTGACGATTTTTTAAAAAGCTAAGCAAAAAACAAATTTTTTTATTATTGACTTAAGAAATTTTTATGAATTTTTTCTAATATTTTTCCAATGCTCTTGCTCACCATATTTGATTTTCATAAGATCTTTTGCAAAATTATTTCACATTTTTGTTAGTTTTTTTTTCAAATATTTTTTTAAATAATTTATATTGCCTTTTAATAATAATGTTGTGGTATAACAGATAGCGTAATAAGTATACGAGTATGTATGTATGTGCATATGTAGGTAATAGAAACATGCATGAAAAATTCGAAAAGTTTTAAGTATTTGATTTTGTGATTATTGAAAAAAATTTAATAAATATTTTTTTTTTATGAAAATATTATTGTTATACTTGTATTTTGGACATAAATAGGTCTTTTAAATAAAAATTAAATTGAGACAACAACTACATTATGCATACAGGCTTTAATAATATTGCTATACGACTATACGTATTAGAACTTTTAACAAGATTTGTCGACATAACTTCGAAATAAATGTTGTGAGACACAAGATAATCACGCTCAAATTAAGGAATAAAATTCAATGGTACTTATAAATACACTAATAAATCTACTGCACTACAAAACTGACATTAAAGAATGGAAAAATATCTTGTAAACTTATTTTACTAGCTAGCAGGGTTTTAATCAATGTGCACCCAAAAATGAAGATTTAGATAACCCACTGTCTGTAATCCAATTTGCTTGAAAAAAATTTGTCATAATTCCCTAAAATAATTTCTGCCCGGGAAAATAGAAAACTTTCAATGATGTCTTTTCATTATTGTCCGAATAATAGACCTTATTGAAGGTTTAGGTAGTGAAATCTAATTTGTCACGAAAGTTATCAATATTTATCGCATTTGCAAAGAAAACTTATTTAGTTAAGTGAAAGGTTTGAATAAAATTGGTTCAACTGAGTCTTGAAATACAGAAATCCACAAATAGACAAATAGATATTTTGTTAAAAATAATTCACTTATATTTCTCTAACATTCTAGAAATGTATTTAACATAGTCGATAATTAAAAGAAAATTGCATACTTTCGGGATGAAATTTCTAAGAAAATTCAAAATAATGCCCAATTTTTCACTATTATCTATTTTCATAGTAACTTCAAAATGAGTTAAACCTTCCTCTTACGAAATTCTTAAAGTATTGAATACATACAACTAAAGACGTTTGTTTTAACAAACAGTATAAGAATATTTACTCATAATAAAGTGTACTTACCTACATGCACATACGAGAATCACTGATTGCGTACAAACACAAAATCATTGTATGGATTCTTAAAGGAAATTTAAGATTCATTGAGTAGAAGAAAAAAAGAAACAGGCGTTTCCTTTAAATACATAGAAAAATAACAACAACAAAAAAAAGCAAGTTATCTTTTTTAAATTTCCTGCTTTTTCCCTTCGTATATAAGAACAATATTTTTTTTAATATTATTATTTTTTAGAAAAAAAAAACAACCAGCTATGTTTAATTTCAAAGAATAATAAATCAAATTTAACTTATTTAATCTCCATCTTCTATACACATACATAATTATTACATTGTATATAGACTTACATACATATTTACCTATAATACTTATTCATCTTTTCTATTTTTCCAGACATCTGCTGAAATTGCATCGATCGCAACAATAATAAATATAAAGAAGCAAAATATCAAAGGAAAACCACAATTGACAACAAGAGCAATATATCAAAAAACAAGAAAAAAAAAATAGAAGTACATCTAGTGAAAATCTCTGCACAATATAACAGAAAATATAAAATTATAGCAAAACGTACAACAACAATCTTTTAAATACAATATTGTAAAAACTAGAAAAAACTAAAAAAAAATATTTTTAACAATTTTTCAAGATCTTCCAATATAAGCGTTTATATACAATAAAACACACAAATAAAACAAAACTAAAACCAAACCAGACGATTCAAATCACTTGAAACCATTAACCATAAAACCCCTTCAAATCATTGGATTACATGTCTTTATATAGTTTTGATTTTTTGCAATTTAAGAACCTTTAAAGTTCCAATAAACTAAATATATAGATATACAGATACAACACAGAGTATAACATTTAATATTAATAATAAAAACAAAAAATACTATGTATAATAAGACAAAGCAGAAGGCTAATAATAAAGATTCTATTTAATTTTTATAAAGATAAAAAGTATACATAAAATTCAATCTGTAACTGAACTCATTCAGGTAAAACTTTAATTATTATAAAATACATACAATATTATACAATATACTTACATATACAATATAGAAGAGAAGAGAAAGCGCAAAACAAAAATTATTTAGTTACAAAACATACACAAAAATATTTATAACACAATTATTGTGGTTTTGAAAAACTCAACTTTAAATAAACACACGCTTATATACTTAATTCTAACCATATAATAAATATAGGGTACAATAATTATATTATACTGCCAATATTAAAATATTGCAAATTAAGAACCATAATAAATAAGTACACAGCGAGGAAAAGACATTGTCATATATAAGAGATAACAGAGTAAGACATTGAAAAATAAAACAAGAGATTGAAAATTGCAAAAAATAATTAAATTTACTTTAAATACATTGCGGAGTATGTATAACAGTTCTGTGTATATATATGAATATAATAAGACTTAAAGACTTACAGAAATATTTTGTTCTACAATATACCTACTGATTAATTTCAACGATATTGTAAGGCAAATATAATTACTTATATATACCCAATTCATAATAGTATATAAGAAGGAGAGGAAAATATCAAAGGCAATTTTAAATATCATAAAAAATAATTTGTGCACATTTTACTACTTCCAATAATCATAAGTAAAGTACTTAAATAATTAAAATTTAAAAATAAAAAAAAATATCATGTTATTGTGAATTAATTCACAATAAACATTTATTAGAAAATTTAATAATAAATTTTAATTGCGCGGTAAATTAATTTCAGAAAAAATTTTAAAAAAGACTGTAAAAAAAATTAATAAAGGTCTTCCTGCTCTATTTTATTGAAAACCAAAAGTTCACCATCTTCATAGCAGCTCACCCTCTTATTAAACGTCATCCATCGCCATTTCTGTTTTTATTTTCTTTTTTTTTATTTTTATTAATAATTTGAAATCGAAAAACTTATTAAAATCTTAAATAATAGCGCGGTTTCAATTTGTAATATAAGAATATTAAAAAAAATATAAAAAAAATAATATTTTAGAATTAAATTGCAAATTTTATTTTTTCAAAAGGTGCGGTTTTTAATACTATTAAGTTCAATTTCAATAATAAATTATTTATATATATAAGAAATATAATATTTTACATACATACATACATAAATCACATACAGTATATCGAACGCATCAATCACATAGCTATGACATTAAAACGATAGTTATGATTTTAAAAATTAACCAACAAAATCAAAAGACTATTAAAAATAACATTTGAATTATTTTGTAATTTAAGATTACAAATAAAATAGGAGAATAATTTACAAAAAAACAACACCTATATACTTAATTAATTATATAACACCTTTATTTTGCAACGAATTATTAAATTATAAGAAGAACAAGAAGAAGAATAAAATATCAAAATGGGAGAAGGATACATAAATGAAGGTGAGTACTATACTATAATTTCATTGATTTATAGTTTTAATAATATTAATTACAAAATTTAGTAATTATTATTTAAAAAATTTTTATTTAAATTATTTTGCACGCTATAACTATTATTAATAATATTTTTTTTCTGTCTATAATTTTATTATTTTTCATTATCATAAATTTTATTAGTATAATCATCGCGTATTTAATCATAAATCATCCGTTGTACAATAAAATGTTCGAAATTAATTTTGTATATTTCTGAAAAGAGAATTATAGCTCAAACAACTATAATTTTAAAATTAGAAATATCTGATGTGATCAGCACATAACCGGTCACATGAGGTGAAAATTATATGAGGTGAAAATTAGAGAAAGTGTTGATTACTAAACTCCCCTTTACTTTTTTTTTTTCCTTCTTCACTCCTAGGAGGAGTATAGGGCTAGTGCATGATATCTATCATGACCTAGTTTCTATAGTCATAGAGAGTTAGCTAGGTAGGTGACTAGCCTACCGTAGTTTTTTTTTTTATTTAAGTATATTAAATATTTCGTTTTTATTAATATTTACTGTTTATTTTTCTTAGTCTTTAGTATCGAATATTATGAATATTTGAAAATTACTTGTATAATATTTATTGGTATCGCATATTAAGTTATATAATATTGAATATAATTTTTATAGTGACCTGACCGGGGTTAAAGGGCCGGTGCCATAACCACTGCACCAATGGTCAGATATCTGACCCCTTTACTTAATTACTTCTTATTAAAAATCTCTTTTAAACCACTTGTTAGAGATTTTAAAGATGCCAGAAAAATTTTAACTAACCATACTTAGAAAAATCTAAATTTGGTTTTTGATAGAAGTTCACTTTACGCCATCGGAACTCCCTGAAAAGATAATTTGTCTGCTTTCACTAAGTAGCAGATGGAACCCAAATATTAAATTTAAAGGAAATTCTGTCAATTTGTTAGTACCTTAGACATGAAAAAACAATAAAATCGAATTAGAATTGTAAAAGTTTGGCTTTCGAGCCATAGTGTTCGCAAAAAATTTTTAGTTTATTGTTTTAAAACTAAATTTCAAGGAATTTCGTTTATCATTCGTGTGTATTTGCCAAAAATGAGAATTGGTCCAATAGTACAAATCAACATCAGCTGCTAGCAAAAAGAGAAATAGCTTGTCGTATTACCAAATAAATATTATATTAAAATTTCAAGTTAATCTGTTAAATAATTTCTTTAAAATTATCAAAAATGTAAAATTAGCCATGAGACCTTATATATATCACACAGGCTGCCGAACTTACATTTCTATAAGTAGTTTATTTAAGTTTCCCTACCATGGCGAATGGAAACATGTATTACGAAAATTACGAATTTCTCGCAGATGAGCGTTTTGTAATAAAAACATTTTTTATATACATAAGAAAGGTCCGATTCGGCATTGTTCGACGCTTTACGCTGTTTCCAAAAAGTACGCGTTATAATGCGCATATCTGATAGCGCATAATAATTGCGCCCTCGTTTTCCGGCGCTCTTTGCATATGCTCTACTTCGCATATATGGCAGATCCGACACTGAGCTGAATACATAGTATTATAGATGTTCAATATTTCAATATAAGTATTCGAAGTCTCATTGATATTTACACAAATTGTAAAGCTTAAACTTTATTTTCTAAAATTTCTGTAATGAAATTGTAAAATCTATAATGTAAACTAAAATTTTCCAAATATGTAGAATTTGCAACAAAGTTTTACAATATACTAATTTAATCTATATGAAAAATTCAAGTTTTCCTATATTGTAAGTACATTGACTCTTAATCCACTTAATCCAATAAAAAATCATACAACATTATTAAGTATAAGTCATTCAAATTATACAAAATCAAAATGCATAACATATAAATTTTCTTTTATCTATGAATTTGTTGTATAGCAATTGTAATCATAAATTTTTTTACTGTTTAGCAATTGAATTTTTTCAATAATCTCTTAAAAATATTTTAAAAATTGAAGAAAAAAAATGAAATCCAATATTTAAGCAATTTTTTCCTAAGTTTATTTATTTTTCCTTTTACGAGTATTAAGAATATATCGAAATTTCTTATCATCAGATAATGCAATATTTTGATTCCAAATTCTAAAATAATGCAGTATTTGTTATAGGATTTGAGTACTTTGTGTGCTTACAGTACTTGCATTTATAAGCTAAATATTTATAAAAATAAATAAATCTTAAAATTTTTTGATTCAAAATATAAGATAAACACAAGAAATGTAAGATATTTTCATATCTAAATCATTTTTTATATAAATCTTGGCACAAAATGTTTATTTATTTTATTTGAAATGTAATTGACAAAAGTACAATTGAAAGAATGAGATAATAGGGGGGAAAAAAGTGCTACTACTTCAAGTTTTCATTTACAATGTTTTGAACAATAATTGTTCAGTGTGTAAAGTAGAAGTATGAACTTTTCAAATTTTAGGCTAAAATAAATAATAAATTATGTTAAGTAAATATTATTGTGGAATATAAGAATGTAGAAAATGTAAGTATGGAAAATCATAATTCAATTTTTTAAGTACTTACCACATAATTTTTCTTGAAAAGTTTCAATTTCACATTATTTTTATGTCATATAGGAGTCTGAAATAAAAGAAAAATTTTTATTTAGTACTTTTTCTGAAAATCTCTTATAACAGTTGGTAATTCGGATTTCATACTTATCTGATTAATAAAATGCTAGCATTAGTGTCTCTACATTCCTTATTACCATTCATAATTAGGTCAAATTTCCCGGACTCTGCGATCTTAATTTTTAAATTTTTTTTTCAAAATTGAACATTTTTTATATACTATGCAGCATCAGGGTTAAGTGTTCCTTTAAATTATAATAAAAAATTTATAGCTTTAATTATTTTAGTAACAAAAATTCGAGACAAAATTACTTGAGGAGAAGAGGTTCACCCCGATAAATTGCACCGACAGTAGCAAACCCCGCCTCTTCAAATATACAGTGGAAGTAATATATGGAACTCATAACTGTTCGATTTTAAGATGTTCACTGTATATTTGCAATTTAGTTTAGTTTTTGTTGGCAATTAAGTATAAAATTCTAAAATATTCATGTATACAAGTGCATAAATGTACCTACAGAATGTTTGAATGTGTATGCAAGGAAAAACTAAAAACTTTTTTAATTTTTATTAATAAAAAATTATTCTCTCTTATTTCTCTTAATTACTCTTTTATTTATTTTTTTTTATAATAATTGATTTATTAAAAATTTATTCCATTATTGAAAATCTAAAAATTTTTTCTATTTCTTGACAAGATCTGTACAAAAATTTCTTTAATTTTTCAATTCAAAATAAAATTTGTTGGTTTTTCAAACAGCACCTATAGCTTAACGATAAGAAAATTATTCCTAGACGCTAGAATAAATGCTAAGGTCTAGAAGAACAGCTAAAAATTTAGGTGCGGAGTTTTTTTTAAAGACCAATTACCTAAGAAATAATATGTTGTTCCGATTAAGAACAGTGAAGAAATTACATTTGTTTTTGCGCCGTCCAGATTTAACTTAATTCGTGCATGATATTTCAGTAACATGATATGCCCAGTAACATGATGCCCAACATCGAGAGCGAGATCGGTTATCTTTGCTTGGATGAGAATAAGACGGTTTAGCATCCTATTGCAAAAGAAATCTCACGGTTTGAGGTGGCTGTAATACTGCAATTTGTCGTAATACTTGGATATTAATCACAAGAAATCCTATGGGCCGACGTGGGGAGGACCAAAGATCCCCGCTTTTTTACTTAAAATTTAGAAATATGCTTAAGATCAAAATTTCAAGGAAGTTTTCATATACTTAAGAAGAACGTTACAATGATTCATTCTATATTAAAAATTACAAAGAGCTTTTCTAATTTGTAACTCTTAACTTACGCTTACAATATGAATGCTCCCATATCAAACCAAACAAATAAATCTACTCTTTATGCTCTACTAATAGTTTTTATAGCTTGAAATTCTTGAAAGTTAATTAAAATTTTAAATGCATAACTAATTTTCCCTGTTTTTAATAATTTTTTTTTTATTTTATTCGGTTATGCTAATTTACATATGAATTTCATAAAAATGCATAAGAACGCAAATCATAATTATAAAAAAAAAATAAAGTTGGGTCAAACCAATGGTTTGTATTGTAGCACTTTTCCCTTCAACAAGTGAAAATTCTGTAACAGTCTACGAGTATGTATACCTATCACACTATTAAAATTATTTTCATTCATATACAAAACTATTTCTAGGATTGCATATATTTAGGATGATGCATACATGCAGTCTTTGAAATAAAGCAAAAATTAATATAAAGTGGGGTTAACATAATGCTCGATTTTAAGGATTAATTGTGTGAGTTAAGAAAAATAATTATATTTTTTAATGTTATGGAATTTACCGTTAGCTTTTCGTGTTTATAGAAATTTGAAAACGTTTGCGGTTTCGGAAATATAGGGCGCCAAAAATTCAAATTTTACAAATTTCAAGAGGCGATAACTTGAGAGGGGGTGGAGATGGAAAAAAATTTTCCTTCTAACGAAATAAACTATTTGTTAATGTCTATAAGCCACTAAAATTTCAAGCTTCTACAGGCTGGGGTCTAGAAGAAAAATGACATCAAAAATTTGGAAAAAAAGGACTTTAGATAACGGTAAATTTGAACGGCCATTTTGTTTTTCTAAATTTTGACTATAGCATACCGCGCTAGGTGAAGTAAGCCACTGCCTTTCTGCGTTTGCAAAATTTCAAAAATGCTTATGGTTTCATTGCAACAAATAGTTAAAATAGGCCATTTTTGTGGCTTTGGGGGGGTATAACTTCTAAAGGGGGGGAGATAGGTAAAAATTTTGTTCTACAAAAATAAGTTTCTAGTAAAGATTTATATACTTGCAAAATTTCAGCTTTCTATCTTCAAGGGTGTAGAAGTTTTGTAA